TAAATATGTGGTGCGACGCGGCGCTGAGCTTCTCGCCCGGTGTGCGACCCCCTTAACGTTAATTTTGTGAAACTGTAGCTGTGGCTGAATACATACACGACATGAAAATATGTGTCAAATGTACATGATTTTTTGTTTTTATAAAGTTACCAAAAAGGAGGACCAGCCACGTCAACTCCTTGCAAGAGACCTGCCCCTTCAAACCCTCTCCACCATAGCTTCGTCCAGTGACTCGGACAGTAACATCTGTGATAACTAATTTACTTTTAAACCTGACTTCTCTTGCGGTTTTCAGTTTAACGAAAAACAAGCATGTCATTAAACGAAACATTTATAGATATCGAACTTTACCTCATCCATGGCAACTAATTTTCGATTCCTGTCTGACTGATTTATCCACAGTGGAGTTGAAAACAACAGTTCCCATCATTCCGTGTTCCTCCACGTCGTCATCAAGCAAAGCCGCTGTTGTTGTTTTGAATGTAGCGCCCTCTAGCGGCATCTAAATCTTAGGTATTGTATCTTTAATCTAGATTAAAATGGCTCATTTGAATTATCCCAAAGGCGCTCTTATGTGTGCTATACCCAAATAAATAACCTCGCAGGTAGTTTGTAATTAGGCCTAAATATACAAGATTTAACACTGGAATGTTCATATTATTATGAGTAATCATAAGTATTTTATTCTATTGTCAACCCTAGTTTCAAACAGCACGAAATAATAACTAAATCAGTTTTTGTTGTTGTTGTTGTTTTCATAAGGTTTTCTTGTGTAATTCTAAACTCATTGGATCTACTTTTCTTCTGTGTAACACGACATTAATTATTTTGTAGTGTCCGTGAAGCTCTTTTCCTTAGTTACAATACAAATGAAAAGAGAGGGATGAAATATCTGAGGAATGCATAGGCCTATGTAATGCATAATACAGAAATCAGCTGCTTGAATAACAATTTCTGATGTTATTGGATTTTCAGGTTGGATTGTCAATTCATTCAATTAACGCATGCTCTGAAATCACTTCATACGTTTTCTTTATCCGATCTTGAAAAGACCAGGTGTAAATCCCCTCCGAAACGCATTCGAGACGGATTTGAATCCGATCACTCAAACCACATCACAAGGTACTGTGGACTGGGCAGACGGAACTGGACATGTATAAATGCATCTGGTTGTTGAAACCACATATGTAAATGTTACTACTCCCAAAAATGCTAAAAAATATAAACGTGTGAGAGCGTGTTATAGGCCATATGTCATTGTCATGTTATTTTAATCCGGTATGACGGCGCTGCGACACGCATCACCTCAGATGAGCAGTTGAGCGCCTATCAAGCCAACGCGCCCCAATCTATCGCAAATCAAAGTGAAAGTAATTAAGTCGCAGACACTCAACACTACAATCCTCATTAAAAGTAAAGAAACTAAATGATCTTACCAGGGTTCTTGCCGCTCTCTCTTATTGCTGTCTTTGCTGATTTTGAAAATAGCCGATGATCATTAAAATGCAGCTCATCTGTTGTTTTCGGTGACGTGCACTTCATTTAATCCGCATATAGCGTGGGGGAATTGAAGATCGGATTTATATCCGTTTTGCAACAACACATGTATGTGACCAGGTGTAAAGTGGATCGTTTTGATAAATTAGATAGCTATTCGATCTTAGAAAACGCATGAAGTGGCCAGGTGTAAACAGCCGTGGCACGGTGCTGCTTCTCGTTCGGTGTGCGACCCCCTTTACGGATGTGTATTTCCCTCATGTTAAATATAAAATGCATAGACTGATATTTTCTTAATGTCTGGATAAACAGACTTTTCAATATATTGGTTTTAAATGGCCCTTACAGTGCAATTCGACTTCATCTGCGGTAAAATATCAAAGTGAAAGTCAGCTTGCGTGGTGCAGTCAGCTCCCAACTCAACTGTGAGAATTAACGGCGATAATTTTTTTATCGCCAGACAAGAGTCTCACGTTAACGCAGCACGTTAACACCGATAACGGCCCACCCCTAGTGATAATATATATAGAGAGGGTATGGAAAGTATTCAGACCCCTTAAATTTTTCAATCTTTGTTATTTTGCAGCCATTCGCTGAAATCATTTAAGTTCGTTTTTTTCCCCTCATTATTGTACACACAGCATCCCATATTGACAGAAAAACACAGAATTGTTGACATTTTTGCACATTTATTAAAAAAGAAAAACTGAAATATCACATGGTCCTAAGTATTCAGACCCTTTGCTGTGACACTCATATATTTAACTCAGGTGCTGTCTATTTCTTCTGATCATCTTTGAGATGGTTCTACAAAAAAATTCTGCTGCACTAAAGGTTCCTAAGAGCACAGTGGCCTCAATAATCCTTAAATGGAAAACGTTTGGGACGACTAGAACCCCTAGGCCGTCCGGCCAAACTGAGCTATCGGGGGAGAAGAGCCTTGGTGAGAGAGGTAAAGAAGAACCCAAAGATCATTGTGGCTGAGCTCTAGAGATGCAGTCGGGAGATGGGAGAAAGTTGTAGTAAGTCAACCATCATTGCAACAATCCACCAGTCGGGGCTTTATGGCAGAGTGGCCCGACGGAAGCCTCTCCTCAGTCAAAGTTTGCTAAAAAAAACACCTGAAAGACTCCAAGATGGTGATAAATAAGATCCTCTGGTCTGATGAGACTAAGATAGAACTTTTTGGCCTTAATTCTAAGTGGTATGTGTGGAGAAAACCAGGCACGGCTCATCACCTGTCCAATACAGTCTCAACAGTGAAGCATGGTGGTGGCAGCATCATGCTGTGGGGCTTGTTTTTCAGCTGCAGGGACAGGACGACTGGTTGCAATCGAGGGAAAGATGAATGCCAAGTACAGGGATATCCTGGACGAAAACCTTTTCCAGAGTGCTCTGGACCTCAGACTGGGCCAAAGGTTCACCTTCCAACAAGACAATGACCCTAAACACACCGCTAAAATAATGAAGGAGTGGCTTCACAACAACACTGTGGCTGTTCTTGAATGGCCCAGCCAGAGCCCTGACTTAAACCCAATTGAGCATCTCTGGAGAGACCTGAAAATGGCTGTCCACCAACGTTTATCATCCAACCTGACAGAACTGGAGAGGATCTGCAAGGAGGAATGGCACCCAAATCCAGTTGTGAAAAAACTTGTTGCATCTTTCTCAAAAAGACTCATGGCTGTATGAGATCAAAAGGGTGCTTCGACTAAATACTGAGCAAAGGGTCTGAATACTTAGGACCATGTGATATTTCAGTTTTTCTTTTTTAATAACTGTGCAAAAATGTCAACAGTTCTGTATTTTTCTGTCAATACTTAAATGATTTTAGCAAATGGCTGCAATATAACAAAGAGTGAACAATTTAAGGGGGTCTGAATACTTTCTGTACCCACTGTATATATAATTCTATATAAGTCATTCAAGTCTGGTGTATCATATGATACAAAACAAACGCACAAACATTTTTACATGGTATTTTATATTTTGTCTTAAGTTATGATAAACTGTCTCCACAGACACACACACACACACACACACACACATAAAAAAAGCTTTACAGGTATAACTTCATGTTTATGATGGAGATTTTTGGTAACACTTTATTTTAGGACCCGCAAACAACTGGGTAAGTACACAATAATTACGGTGTACGTTTCTGTAATTATAGTGTACTTCCATGTGAGTATAAGGGAACAATATGTTAAGTTTGGGGTAATAAAGGGGTAACAAGCAGATATACAACCTGCAAATAACTTCGTAAGTACACTGAAATTACGATGTACGTTTCTGTAAATATAGTGTACTTCCGTGTAGGTATAAGGGAACAATATGTAAGTTTGGGGTAAAAAGGGGGTAACAAGCACCACTTAAATTTACAGCCCGCAGGAGTTATACTTACCCTGTAACTACACAGAACAAGGGGGTAACAAAGCTACTTACTATGTAGCAATACGAAACAACACTATTTGCACTGTAATTACAGAGAACGGTACTGTTATCAAGAAAATAAAACAACAACAACAAAAAAGTTTTAATTACGCAGTATATTTGCCCTGACATTTAAGTGTCATTGCAATTCAATGGGATAAGGTAAGTACTCATTACCACAAGGTACAGTCTAAATTAAAATCATAACAGAAAATAATTTTGATTTAACATTAAGTAATCTAGTAAGAAAAGCCAATAAATTTGATATTTGTCATATATATATATATGAAGAGTTCAGATCCAAAAGCCTCTAAATGCCATTTGAAATTTTCTTCTAAAATGATCATTTTTATCAAGCTTGTATATTTAAGTTCAGTAATTTCACTTAAATGGCAATGAATATTACCTATTAATTGTCATTTAAGTGAAATTACTGAACTTAAATATACAAGCTTGATAAAAATTATCATTTTAGAAGAAAATTTCAAATGGCACTTAGAGGCTTTTGCATCTGAACTCTTCATATATATATATATATATATATATATGTTTAATTTTCACAATTTAAACCCACAGATGTCAAAATTACCCTGTAACATTGCACAAGAACATATTTAGCCAGAAGTATACATTTTATTAACAACAGACGTACATTTTTTGCCTGGAATATATTAAAAGAATAGGTGCCTGTTATTTTTTAACTAATTAAATAATTTGCGTGTATATCTGCTTGTTACCCCCTTATTACCCCAAACTTAACATATTGTTCCCTTATACCTACACGGAAGTACACTATAATTACAGAAATGTACATCGTAATTTCAGTGTACTCACGAAGTTATTTGCAGGTTGTATATCTGCTTGTTACCCCTTTATTACCCCAAACTTAACATATTGTTCCCTTATACTTACACGGAAGTACACTATAATTACAGAAACGTACACCGTAAATTCTGTGTACTTACCCAGTTGTTTGCGGGTCATAAAATAAAGTGTTACCAGATTTTTTTTAGAGATAAAATGCATTTTTCAGTTGAGAGCTAAAATGACAAAATATATAAAAGACTTACAGGGCTGTTTTGGAGGTTTTGATGACTGCCGATAATCTGATGAGGCACTCATCTGATTTCTTGAATTTCTGAAGCTCAAACTCCTCCAGCTCTTCCTCTGATGTCAACAACACAAAGGCTAAAGCAGACCACTGGGCAGGTGAAAGGTCACCAGATGAGAGACTTCCTTTGCTAAGGTGGGTCTGAATCTCGTTCACCAGAGTTTGGTCGTTCAGTTCATTCAGACAGTAGAACAGATTGATGGATCTCTCTGCAGGAAGATTATCTTCTAATTTCTGCTTGATGTACTGAACTATTTCCTTGTTGCTCCGGTCAGTGCCGTCTCGCTGTGTTAACCGACCTTGTAAGAGTCGTCGAACTATCCCCTTGTTGCTCTGGTCAGTGTCGTCTCGCTGTGTCAACAGACCTCGTAAGAGTCGTCGATTGGACTGGAGTGACAGACCGAGGAGGAAGCGAAGGAAAAGGTCCAGGTGTCCATTGTCACTCTCCAGCGCCTTGTCCACTGCAGTCTTGAGAAAATCAATCATGGTTTCATTTCTGTTTTCCTGTTCTGTAGACTCATGATCAAACACACTTGTCTTGTTGATGTCTAGAAACAGATGTGCATAAAGGGCTGCAATAAACTCTTGAATGCTCAAGTGAACAAAGCAGTACATGGTACCAAGAACGATCCCTGTTTCCTCCTTAAAGATCTGGGTGCACATGCCTGAGTACACTGATGCCTTATAGACGTCAAGACCACAGGCTTCCAGGTCTGTGTCATAGAAGATCAGGTTGTTTCTTTCCAGATTATGAAATGCCAGTTTCCCCAGTGAAAGGATGGCGTCTTTATCCCAGGAAACATCTGGTGTGTATTCTCCATCATATTTCCGGCGGCTCTGCTGGATCTGAAAGCGGAGAAAGTGTGTGTACATTTGTGTCAGAGTCTTGGGAGTGTCTTCAGTGTTTGATTCCTGCAGTGTTTTAGAGATCTCATCAGCCTGAGTGTTTCTCACATCATTATTTCTCTTTTCCTCCAGAATGTTCTGGAGAACAGTGGCTGAAATCCAGCAGAAGACTGGGATGTGGCACATGATAAAGAGACTCTTTGATTGTTTAACATGATCTATGATTGTGTTGGCTTGAATATCATCCTTGAATCTTTTTCTGAAGTACTCTTGCTTTTGTGCGTCGCTGAATCCTCGTATCTCTGTCAGCCGGTCGATACAGTCAGGAGGAATCTTACTGGCAGCTGCTGGTCTGCTGGTGATCCAGACGAGAGCAGAAGGAAGCAGATTTCCCTTCATGAGGTTCGTTAGGAGAACATCCAGAGAGGCTGGTGACGATACATCACGCCACGTCTCATTACAATCAAACTTCAGAGGAAGGCGACATTCGTCCAATCCATCAAGGATGAACAGCACTTTGAACTGATTCCTTCTTGTAAGGTTCAGTCTTTTTGTCTCTGGGAAAAACTGAGTTATAAGGTCCATCAAACTTAGTTTTTCTTTCTCCTTTAAGTTCATCTCTCTGAATGGAAGAGGAAATATGAAGCTGATATCTTGATTTTCTTTTCCTTCAGCCCAGTCCAGAACAAACTTTTGCACAGAGACTGATTTGCCGATGCCAGCGACTCCTTTTGTCAGTACAGTTCGGATCTCCTCGTCTTGTTCAGGCGCTTCAAACAAATGTGTGCATTCAACCTGTATCTCTTGTGCTTCATGACGTCTGGAAGCAACTTCAATCTGTCTCACCTCATGTTCAGTATTGACCTGTTCACTGCCACCCTGAGTGATGTAGAGATCTGTGTAGATGTTATTCAGGAGTGTGGAGTCACCTTGCTTCGCCATTCCTTCAAACACACATTGATACTTCTTCTTTAGGCCACATTTCAGCTGATGAATGAAGAGAAGCTCACCTAAACACAGGAACAGAAAATAGATAGTTTTATTCTTCATTTTCTCTCCTACATTTATAAGAGACAATCAGACAGATGATTACGAGTCTCTTGCCTTCTAGAGCATCAGCAGCTTCATCTTGCTTCATCTCTCTCAGGTAATGTAGTGTGAGATCAAGAGCTGCTGATTTGATACTGGATCTGTTCTCATTAAAGTCCTTCACAAAGTGTTGTGTGTTCTCATGTTGTAATATTTTCTTTAACTTCTCCAGCTCATTCTTCAGAAATGTTATTATTTTGCTCTCAAGATCCTTCAAACAAAAGTAATAGAAAAGCCAGAATAACACAATTTAAGCCAAATTGTTCATCTATTTTTGATAAACACTATTCATTAAATAATTATAATACATGTACATAAAAGTTGTGATAAAATGTGTTTAAAAGGAAAAAAGAAGATGAAGGAAAAATGTAACTAAATTTCTTTGTTCAATAACATTTATTTATTAGAAATATTAAACATTCATAAAAATCTGTTTTCCTACCTGGAAGATCCCAAGAAGATTGTCTTTGAAATTCTTGTGGTTTCTGTGAGTCTTAAGATCTGAGTCTAATGTCTCATATTGAAGCCTGTAATCACATTAGTAAAATAAAATACTAACTGATATTTTACAGAAAGAGAGAAAAGCATTAGCTGTGCATACTCTGGCAAATATTTGATCTAAACATGTTTTATGATTGGTATTCCCTGATACATCTTAATGCATGACAAAAAAAATGAGTAACACAAAATACCTTTTATAAGATGATGGTGTTTTCTCACTGAAGTCTGGTCCTTCATCTTTAGAGTGATCACTCTTCAGAGACACAGAACTGGACACATGTGAGCCTGATCTTACACTGATGACAAAGAACAGAGAGAGAGAGAGAAAGAGAGAGAGAGAAAACACTTTACTACAGGAGATACTTTGTCTCATTTGTAAAGGTTTCATGTTGCAAATAGTAATTAAAGGGGTGATGAACTGAGAAATCATATTTTCCTTGAGCTTTTGACATCTAAGAGGTCATCATATTATAATAATATCCTGTAAGTTTCAGAACTGAAAACGTCCTTGTTAGTCCAATAAAAGCTTTTATTGACACCAGCCTCAGCAAATGACTCGTTTTTCAAAGTGGGGAACTATGATGACAAAGAGGTTAAAACACCACCCCCGCAGAAGAAGATCAACACCTACTTCAACACAGCCGGTTTAGCCCCGCCCACCGATTAGCGCATTACATGCATAGCTAAATAACATAGATGCCTACCTCGTGATGATAAACCGAATCGAGCTACCGAGCAATACAGAATATTGTGCAGTTCCTGGTTGTGGAAGAAGACAGTCGCTGCATAAGCTTCCTCTGGATTCCAATAGGACTGCATGGATAAACTTTATTTTTAATGATGTTCCAGCAGATGAGGTAAAACATCGTCGTCTGTTCGCTTAATTTCACTGAGGATAGTTTTGTAAACAAGACTGGATTTGCAGACGATTAAGAGTAAAGAACGGTGCTGTGCCGTCTATATTGGATCTGACAGGAATTGTGTAACACACGGACTCTGGGTCGAACATGTATGGGCGAATCATTCCGGTTGCCATTTTGCAACATTGGACGTTTTCAGAACAATTTCCCCCAATTGCACCGACGGGTGAGTTGAAACTCATTATAATGCAAAACTGTTATCCACTCACAGCAGTGGGCGTTTACTTCCAAGTCTTCAGTGCGAGACACCCATAAAAAGAAAGGCTCAAAACTAGGCTAGAGATAGCCTATTACATATTCATTTTGATGTTTTTGAATGCAAAAACCAAGTGAACGTCATAAGACAACAATATAATAAAATTTTAAAAAGCCAGTTCATGACCCCTTTAAATGCAGTATAGCTGTGCATTCGTTCATTTATAACTACGGCTGGATGGATGGACATGATTTATTTTCCATAGTGAATTGATGCCTCCTTGTGTCTGCCTGTGTAACTGTGTTTCATAAATCCCCCTACACAGTCAAGTTCAATCACATACACCACTGTGGACAAATAATACAACCCTATAATTAGGGTTGCACGATGTATCAATTTAGCATCAATATCGAGATGTTCGCATCCACGATAGTCACATCTCAAGGATGTGCGATGTCACTTATAGGGATCGTAGTTGCTCCGTGATTACTAGGCTCCGTGACAGCAGCTCCCCGGCCCGTAACGCTTGTGATTCGCGGATTAAATGCAAAGTTTAACCATCATAGTGTGAGATTTTATTAATTTGCAAGTATTGTCAGTTTAAACATCAAGCGCAAGAAGACTGGAACTTCTGAACTACCACTGGTTGTGAATTGTACTATAATAACATTGCCATATCTTCTCTGAAAAGCGTTCCACACATTCAGATGACATAAACCATACTTTCAATAAAAAAATAAAAATCTATGTAGTGATGAAATGTTTTCTGTGTTGAGAGAAATCTTGTGTGATGTCCTAAACTGCCTGGATAATCACACAATGTGTGCTGTGGTCCATTAATGACACGTCCGATTCACAAACTAGTGACTCCTTTGAACCGATTCACTTTAGTTAATGGTTAAAACAACTGATCTATCCAACACTGAACTCAAGAGACATTCGGAAACACTTTACAATAAGGTTCCGTTTATTAAAGTCTAGTTCAAAGGCGGACAGAGTACACAGCTTTATTACTTGAGTAAAAGTACAGATACCTCTGGCTAAATTTTACTCAAGTACAAGTAAAAGTACTACAGTCAGATGTCTACTTGAGTAAAAGTACAGAAGTACTTGTTTTTAAAAGTACTTGAGTATCAAGAGTACATTTTCTAAATATTGCATTACAACTGCCACAGTGCTTACATTTATGAACAGAAACGTCCTACTTGGAGTTATGAAAATGTTAAAGTTAATACCTCGGAGAATGTAAAAGGAATTGAAAGTAAAATCAAGTCATATTCATTTTTTTTACCATGTTGCTTTATTTAACATTTAAATTCAGAAAATTGAAATAGTCTGGCAAGGTGGGGTCACAGGCAGGCACATTCGCGGGATGGACCTGCTGCATCTTTATCCATGGTTTCGTCCATAGTTTGGTCTCTTATCTACTGTAAATCTGACCATGGAGTTGACTTTGGCGGAAAGCTGAAGGTGATTGCTGACTGGTTGTCCCAATCAGTGGCACCTGCACAATCCAATCACGTTTGAGAGGGAAACAACAATTTGAGGGTTTCTGAGATTTTTCTTATTACCATTTTTTTTAGTTTTTTTTTTTTAGATGTAGTTACTTTTTACTCACGCTAATGGATAGAAATGTATTGGAGTAACGAGTACGATATTTCCCTCTCAAATGTACTTGAGTAAAGTCATGAGTACTCCCCAAAAATGATACTCGAGTAAAGTACAGATCCCTCAAAATTGTACTTAAGAACTGTACTCAAGTAAATGTACTCCGATACTGTCCGGCTCTAGTCTAGTTAACTACATTAGTTAACATTCTATTAATATTAGTTTCTATGTGGTTTTACTCCATGATTAAACCAGTCATACTAGAATTATTCATTCTTTCCAAATAGAGCTATTCAAGTCATCTGGAGAAATTGTTTTATATCACAAATATATATTGTGGAAAAAGAAAATATCGCAATGCCATTTTGACCAATATCGTGCACGCAAATACCTTTTCTTAGATGATGGTGTTTTCTCACTGAACTTTGGTCCTTCATCATTAGACTGATCACTCTTCAGAGACACAGAGCTGGACACATGTGAGCCTGATCTTACACTGATGACACAAAGAACAGAGAGAGAGAGAAAACACTTTAGTAAAGCAGAATCAACTGTGTCTGAAACACACCTGTGTCTTTATCTAATCCTCCGCAGAAACACACACACTCACACAATTTACAGTTTTATAGTTAACCATCATTTTATTTACCTGCTCACATTAGTTTAACAATTTCTTTAACATACAGGAGTGAGATTAAACACGTTAAAAAATACTTTAATTTAAGAAAACATGTCAAGTGTTTACTGACAGAAATAGAGAACAGAAATGTCTGTGCAACAGTTTTGTTAGCATACTTGAATTAAATAGTCATTTTCTAATGTCTATTAATAATTTTATAATCTAAATACTAAAGTCATTTATTTGGATTAATTCAGTATCTAGAAGGTTATTAACAAATTATTAAAGGGTAACTAAACCCTAAACCAACTTTTTTTAGTTAATGATCTGTAAGAATGGGGCTGGTCATTGATTCGAGTTACTTTTTTGACATTTGGGTATAAAGTGTTTTATTTCTACAATATATGGAGTAAAAACATCTTAGTGCTGTCCTCTTCAGGTTGAACGGTGGCTACTGCAGTTGAATTTTCCTATTGGATGTTTGCGGTTCTTCGTGACATACGCAAGTTTCAGCTCACCACGCCCTTGATACAAGCTACAGCTACCACGCCCTCTGCAGTTTAAAATCATCTTGTTTCGTCAAAACCACTGCGAGTCAAGAGTTGGAATGATTTTTTGACAGAACTGGTTTGTGCACATTCCAGGATATTCAAGCAGAATACAGCCTGGCTTTTCTTTTTTCTTGTACCTGAGGTTGCGATCTGCTATGAAAGCTTATGGCGTGCCATGGAATTCTGTTTTGGCTGACCACCCAATGTTTAACTGGATTAATCCCGTCAAAGATCCTAGTGGGGCGATCTCAGTAATCTATAACTCTTTACTCAGTAGTGTTCACAAGCCTTTAAAGATACTATCAAAGTGGGATTTGGAACTTTCTTGGATAGAATTCCATCCAGACTGGGACACAAACCTTGGCCTTACCTCTAAAAACCTTAGTCATTCATTTTAAGACTATCCATCGTTTCTATTATACACCTTACAAGCGATATTGCATGAAACATATACCCAATCCATACTGCAGCTTCTGTAACCATGGCACCACTGGCACGTTTTTACATATGTTTTGGGACTGTCCAATGAGTCAACCATTCTGGAAGTATGTGACTGTTAGGTTGCATGATCTTACAGGTCTATACCTGGATTTGGACCCATGTTTACTATTATTAAATGATGATTCAAAGTACCAATTTTCTTTCCGCGACAAAAAAGTTTTGATGGCAGGGTTCAACGCTGCAAAGAAAGCTATTTTGCAGCAGTGGATAACCCTAGATACAAATTTGAAGCAATTTTGGATAGTCTCATTTCATTACATAGTTTGCCTTGAGTGTACAACTGCAAAGATCAATAAGGTAAAGTCGACCACTGTAAACACCTGGATGAATATAGCCTCTGCCCTTAAAGAGCTTCTTTGAATATTCTACAGTTAATAAGTTAGCTGCCAGTATTTAAGTTGTGTTCTGTGTGTATGGTTGTTGTGTTTTGGGTTTTTTTTTTCCTAAATGTATCTATATTCTACGGAAGCCCTGAACCGCAACCTAAAAAAAAAAAAGTCAGTAAAAAAAAAATAATAAATCTGTAAAAAAAAAAAATCTGTAAAAAAAAAAAAAAAATCTAGCATTTCGAGATTAAAGTCGAAATGTTTCGAGATTAAAGTCGGAATGTTTCGAGATTAAAGTCGAAATTTTTCGAGATTAAAATCGAAATGTTTCGAGATTAAAGTCGAAACATTGTGCATTCATAACAGTGCGCGTCCACTGGCTCAGAGCGCGCGCGTGTGCGTGTGAAGTCGAACTGCCATGGATAAACACAAAATAGTAGCTTTTTACTTTTATCTGAATTACTTATCTTACTTTATCGTTATAAAATATAATACACCGGAATAGACTTTAGCCTATAGGATAACCAACACGGAAAACACTTTTCAGACTGGATGGAGAAATCCAGCTTTATGAATGAATGAATGAATGAATGAATGAATGAATGAATGAATGAATAGGGCATTTATATAGCGCTTTCATATATGCCTACACTCAAAGTGCTTTACAATCATATCAGAGAATCTCTCCTCAACCATAAGTGGTTATTAAATCTTAGGAAATCACAGGATCCGGCCAAATGATTGGATACAGAATGATGCACTTAAAATGTATCCAGAGCGTATTTACGTTGAAGAGGGAGACCGAACAGTTACTGTTGTGTTCTCGACCCAGATAGTGTTGACTAGACGAGCACGAAAACACCTCAGAAACACTGCCACTAGCAAAAGTAAAAAGCTACTATTTTGTGTTTATCCATGGCAGTTCGACTTCACACACACACACACACACGCGCGCGTGCGCTCTGAGCCAGTGGACGCGCACTGTTATGAATGCACAATGTTTCGACTTTAATCTCGAAACTTTTCGACTTTAATCTAGAAACATTTCGACTTTAATCTCGAAACATTCCGACTTTAATCTCGAAACATTCCGACTTTAATCTCGAAACATTTCGACTTTAATCTTGAAACATTTCGACTTTAATCTCGAAACATTTCGACTTTAATCTCGAAATGCTAGATTTTTTTTTTTTTTTACAGATTTTTTTTTTTTAAAGAATTTTTTTTTTTTTTTACAGATTTTTTTTTTTTTTTTAGGTTGCGGTTCAGGGCTTCCGTAATATTCTCATCTCTGTATGATATGGGTTGTTTATTGATTAAAAATAAAAATCATAATCTCAAAAAACAAAACAAAACGTTGGAATGATGAGTATTGAAAACGATCAGGATAGAGTATTGTAGCATCTATTTAGCATAGGATTTATATAGTTATTTAGATTATTTTGTGTAGACTAGTTAGTTAGTAGCATAGTACAGTTAGGATAGCTTCAAGTTAGTGTAGATTTATCTGTGTTTAGTACAGTGAATCAGGATGGTAACGGACATGCACCACACAGCTCGCGCTGAAAAGCGACACAGAGTGCCAAACACTGCTCGTCCTGCATGGACTCCACCACCGCAGCGGTGTCTTGATGTGAGTGAACTGATTATTTTAATCACAATGTATGGTTAGGCTAAAGTTAATCCTCTGGGGTCGACAAATGCGCTGGCGCATTTTGCTGGATTTTTTCACATAGCAGCAAAATATCAATATGAATATATGCCTACAGAGCGTGCGGCTATTGACATCAACTCGACAAAACTCATCAGATGCCGGTCGCGATGCGGGAGTTAAAGACCGCAGTTTGAGCCAGCGGCTGGAATTGATATCGCCCTGTGTCTACAGACAATTCACCCTCCTCCTCTTCAGGTGAAGGTGGGGGAGAAAAGTCCTGGACTTCAAATGACCGCTCTGTTGCAAAGCTACTTGCGTCACTCACTCCAGTCGCTCTCTATTTTAGAGTCTGACAGCAGCTGTCACTCACTGCGGGTCCCCCCCCCACCCTCACTGCGGGTACACCCCCCCCACCCCCACCCCCACCCTCACTGCGGGTACACCCCCCCCCCACCCCCACCCCCACCCGCTCAGCCCTGCCCTCGGTTCCTCCCCTTTATCTCCGCTCCCCAGCATTTTTTTTCAGCATGTTTCAAATATTGCCAGTGGGTGGAGTCAGGCTTTGACCAGGGATTTAGTTACCCTTTAACTGTGATATTTTCTATAGACCAAACAGAGCTTTATAGACAATGTCAGTGTTCATTTAAGAAGTTAAATTGAAGTTGTGCAAGGTATTTGCAAATATAGAGCAATGGTTAAAGTTGTGTTATTGACAGAGAAACACAAAGTCCAGTGGAGTTTAAAGTGAGAGTGTGAAAACAGACGCAGTCTCACCTGTGTTTCTCTGAGAGACTCATCTGAGAGAGAGAGTCCTTTCCTCTTTCCTCTGACATACTGCAGCTAAACTGACCCTGAAAACTGATTAGAAAACACTCAATTCTTCAGCATCACCTGCAAATCACAACATTTACACACATCAACAACATCTTATTGAAGACAATCATGAAGAATAATGAGTTATCATCAACAGCAAAAATAACGAATCAAAATAAAGTGAGTTACAAAATAACCGAATGGTCTCAATCATTTCTGATTGTTTACTGAGTTTAACTGACTCTAAATATGAATTCATTGGGGAACAGAAATGTACACTGTGCTGGAAAACTGAACCCAATTTGTTATATTCTCCATTACAGTATAATATATTATAATCATATTTACCTGTATTATAATTATATTTATCTGTATTATTATTGAATCGTTTGCCATTCAATCATTACTTCATGTTCACAATAACTGATTATTAAAAGTACACTGAATTATAATAGACATACTGTAATACTATTAATCATAATTGCTATGAACTGAAATATTCATAATAACAATAATAATATTGTTATATATAATAATAATAACAGCAGATTGTTGTTAATTGTCGTTATAGGCTTCATCTGTCTGTCTATGTCTGCTTCAAAAATACTTTCGATTTCACACATCACACAAACAACAGCCTAACACGGAAGAGGAAATGGGAGAAAGCTTTTTAGAAACATATTCATGTTGAATAAACCTTTCTCAATACAACATTTTATGATTTTACTTAAAAAGATTGTAATTTCTGGCAGATTCTTCTTCTGTTCGGAGTAGCAAGAACAGCCTTCTGTATTTAAATCTCGCTTAATATACAAAATGCAGTTCCTAAATTATACAAAATGACTGTAATTGAGAATGTAATAAACTTACTTGCGGTCTTGTCCACTAAGAAGAGAATTTATCCGTATTTTATACTCAGTAACGCTTGTTGTCAGTCCGCGCGCGTCGTTCTCAGAATCTCTTGCTGCATGGTCTCGATGGATTGTGGATTAAACACATAAACGTCCGCGAGTGTTATTAGATTTGGTAGGCATTGTGCTAAATTGACATCTGTAGACATGTTTTCTGAATCATAAATGAAATTGAATCCAGTGAGCGACAGGTTTAGGTGTGGACAGGTGTACCTTTCGTTTTGCTGTTCTTGGTGGGTTTTACAGGTGGGTTTGGAACAGCTGGACAGTGTCACACCGACACCTACTGCACTGGAGCGGGATATTATACCACATTTATCTCTAAATCCTGTTTAAAGCCTCTTAAATAGACATTTCAAGACATCCTGAGGTTTGTATTTATTGTACATTCAATCTTTTTGTTTTGTATTAGGACAAAAATGATTCAAAAATAGAGCTAGTCATATGGCCAAAAATATCATCATCATTTTTTTGTTCACAAATTAAACTCCACTGAGTAACCTTTTAATTTAAGGCCCAACATTTATTTATTTTTCCATAGAGTGTGTTTTTTATGTTTATATGTTTTATGATTTAAATCAAATATCATGGTGTCTTATATGAAATGAATTAAAACCTACTTTTCAGTAAGTTTCAGCAAGCTCCAGCAGCTGGAGATGAAGATCATGTGGATTGTCTTCATACAGTGAGACTGCAGATGCTGGTGTGTGTGTGTGTGTGTGTGTGTGTGTGTGTGTGTGTGTGTGTGTGTGTGTGTGTGTTAGAGCAGGAGAGCAGAGGCTGAGACACAGAGCCAAAGTGCAAAACCCGAAAAGCCAAACAGTCATGCCAAGTTGACATTGTCCTCTTTCTCCTTGCCATGACCACGTCCATATTCTCTTCTTTCGCTTCCTCCTCTTTTTAAGCGCATATAAAAAACACAATTGCCAAAGTGTGGTTGATCTTGCTCTGTTTGTTCCCCACTAACACATGCTGATGACAGATCATTCTTCATTACTAACTTGTGTCGTAGCCTGTGTTCATCATCGTAGCCTACAGTCTACATACGTGTCGTACTCACGTTTATTAGATCATGTCTACAGGAGATTTATCATGATCTTATAGGATTGCTGATTGAAATCACAGTCTATAGCAGACATTACAAGATTTTTTATTTAGTAGAGGAATACAGAGTCATAAAAATAAATCCATATAAACCTATAAAACTGGAACATCTAATCTTTTTCATCTAAAGTCTACAACCATTAAATAATTTTATGATTCTTTATCGCGATTAAAATGTTATAAAAGATCTATAAGTGGAAAACAGTCTACAAGTGTGATTTCCCCTTATTGAATATTGTCGATTTCCAATAAGCGAGTATCAACGGCTGCTTAAACAATAAGATTTATTGAACTAAAGAAATAAACAGAGATGTGCCTTGATCAGGGGATCGCTCCCTCGAGGAGCATTAGAGCAGTTTTAGGATCAGTTCAAGAGTCCATGTAAACTGCTGGTCCGAGACCCCGGGGATCTGCACACTTGTGTATTTACTCATTTATTTACAGTGGCGCCTCCAGAAATTTTTCATGGGGGTGGCCAGATGGGGCCACTTAAAATCTTGGGGAGGCACACCAAAATTATAAACCATAATTTCAGAATTTGATTCTACTGTTGTAGTAAATTGGCTTGTAGAAAACTATCAGAAAGACTTAAGGAAACTCCTACCAATACTTTAGTTTCCAGTGTTATATTTAATGTTACTAATGATATAATGTGCATAGACTAATTAAAGTACAGTACAGTTAAAGGGCACCTATTATGGAAAATTCACTTTTACATGGTGTTTGAACATAAATGTGTGTTGGCAGTGTGTGAGCAAAACCACCCTAGAATGATAAAAATCCACCCAGTGTTTTTTTTCAATCTCAATAAATCATATGCACTGTGTCAGAACGAGCTGTTCTGAGATTCAGCGCTTTGTGACGTAGAATTGAGCAAGGGGTTTGATTGACAGTGTGGTTGTGGCATAGACCCCGCCCTCTGTGATCTGTACACACCATCCTCCATTGTTTCAACGACAGCCGGTAATGTCTCGTGGAAACATAAGTGTTCTGTTCTGCTGTCTATGGTTCTGTTGTGGGATAATCCTGTTGTGGGTTAAAAGTCAATCCTCAACTGTGGATCATCATCTACTGTTTGCGATCCACCGTCACCTCCAGTAATAGTAAGTGTATTTTATGATTTTTGAGCAAATAGTCTTTTCAGTCGTTGTCAGCCAATTCAACAAATGCATCTAAAGTTGTTGTCGTCGTCGTAGGATGCCTAATATGTATATAATTTAAACCTAATTTGTATAGTGTGTAACCACACGTTTATATATATATATATATATATATATATATATATATATACACATATATATATATATATATATATATATATATATACACATATATTATATTAAAAACTGCATATATGTTGTTGTTCTGTAAGTTAGCCATCTTCTCACATTTGCCACAGAAGCACCTGTATGACAAGTAAACATGCAACAGGTCCCTCGCATGAATATTCGCTTGTAAGTAGCAAACTTTATCACAGAATGTGTATGTAGTTTCAAATTGCGCCAGCATTAGTGTTTACACGACGCAATTACAACGCTATAAGTACATAAATGTATCAAATAACCATACCGAGACGTACTGGTCCATTCTCATTTGTGTTTATTCTGCCGGAGTCTCTTCGTCATCTGGGTCTGATCAGGGGGGTATTCCAGAAAACAGGGTATGTGACTTACCCGGGTAAGTTTAGGAGTAAGTAAGCGGATAACCTCTGCTTTCGGTTCCAAAAACGGAGGTAACTTTCGGGTTATGTAAGTAACCATAGCAACTGACTCTCTGAGGATAACCTGCTCAGGAGCAGGTTATGTTGCAGGGTTAGTTTGTTTCAGAGAGGTGACGGAGCATGGCGTGCCCTTTTGAAGACGATCCAGTGGATGTGGAAGCACAGATAATATGGATAAAAAAAATAATATATATATATATATGACATTCTATGACATTCTATGACAGACCATTTACTTAATCTATTCATACTGGTTACAGTTACATTCATCAATCATTTTAAATGTTTCTAATTATATCATTTTCAATGTCAGGGTTCCCAAATGTGATTGGGTGCATTGATGGAACCCACATTCCCATTAATGCTCCTTCAGTCAATGAAGGAGACTATGTTACGTAATAGGAAGTCAATCCATAGCATCAATGTGCAGTTGACAATAGATTTTTTGGGTGCTAAATGTTTGGGTGTTTAAACCATTAAATCACCCTCATTACTCGTCCCCACTAACTAGGTAATATGTGATGCAACCCACCTCGTCACTAATGTTGAAGGCAAATGGCCAGGGTCTGTACATGTAGCCAGAATATTTAGGGAGTCATCATTGTGCCCCAATTTTCAACAGGGTATGTTTTGCCTTACACAATGTTTTTTTTAAAATGTTTTTTATGCAGTTATACTGTACACTTTAACTACCTTTATAGGACACTTCAATGGTTACTTGCTGGGGGACAGAGGGTACCCTTGTTGTCTGCCCTATTTGATGACACCCTACCCCGAACCTGAGCCTGGACCGCAGGCACAATTGGCTTTATGCACAGCTTCACTACTTCCTGAACTTCAGCCAGCTCCTTGTTTCCTGTCTGCCATTATTGGACAAATTGATTAATTCAGGTGTGCTTGACCTCAGTAGTCACGGCAACAACAATCAGACACACCTGAATTACAGTTTTTTTTTCGATTTCTTACACACTAAAATTAGAACTTTCCCACAATTAGCAAAACCTTACACTCAAGGAGCAAAACACCGGCCTAGATTTGCACAATTGTAAGCACATTGTCAGCTTCACACTTTTTGCAAAACATTACACACAGTGATTTGCAAAACACTAAACACACTTGTATGCATTTGACACAGAAATTTATCATGATGTAATTTGCTTGCAATTTCAAAGCAAAGGCTTTCAAATGAACACACCCCTGAACCAATTGGTTAAACACAGCCACCAGGTGTGCACACACACTGGGGCTTAATTGTACACACACCAATCAGGTTGAAGTACTATAAAAAGGCAACAGGTAAGTTCACTTGTCTTCAAAATGGATGATGTTAGAGG